CTTTCCAGCCGCTCTGCCCCGAGCCGGGACCCGGCGCTTGGCTGGATTGAACCGCAGACAATTAATTCAATTATTAATTATTGAACCTCATCCCCTGGCCTCAGCCCATGGGTCCAGCCTGTCCAGACCCCTGGGGACAGGACAGGCCCCAAAACCGATCCCTGGGGGACAGGACAGGCCCCAAAACCGATCCCTGGGGACAGGACAGACCCCAAAACCAATCCCTGGGGAACAGGACAGGTCCCAAAACCGATCCCTGGGGGACAGGACAGGTCCCAGAACTGATCCCTGGGAACAGGACAGACCCCAAAACCGATCCCTGGGGAACAGGACAGGTCCCAAAAACGATTCCTGGAGGACAGGACAGGTTTGGTTTATTATTTCCAAGGTTTTTTTTTCTCGTTGGTTTTGCTCGTTCAGGCGGGCAAAGGGGATTTCTGCGATAATTTGGGAACGATCGATCATAAACCTGCTTCGGTGGCAGGATTTCAGCCTGCTCTCAGTGTGAATCAAGCCCCGAGGCTCTTTTATGGGCAAAAAACTCCATCCCTGGCCTTAAACCGGTGTGAAAATCCAGCCCTGAAATGCAAATTTCCTTCCAAAGCTGGTTTTAAGCAAATTTCCGCTTGGAAAAAACCCCTCGGAAATGGGGTTTTTGAAGTAAATTCATTAAAGAAACCGGCTCCAGGCGGCTGGTGGGGGCAAATGGCACGTCCAGGGGTGTTTTGGGGTGGGTTTGGGGGAAAATCTCCTTTTCGGGCAGTTTTGGGAGAATATCTTTTTTTTTGAGGCTGTTTTGTGGAAGTTTCTCCTCCTTTAGGGTGATTTGGGGGGAATATCTTTTTTTGAGGCTGTTTTTGGGCAATATCTCCTTTTTGAGTCAGTTTTGGGGGAATATCTCTTTTTTTAGGCTGTTTTGGGGAAGTTTCTCCTCCTTTGGGCTGGTTTTGGGGTAATATCTTTTCCAGGGTGGTTTGGGGGGAATATCTCCTTTTTTGGGGATGGTTTGGGGGAATATCTCCTTTTTCGGGGTGGTTTTGGGGGAATAGCTCCTCCTTTGGGGTTGTTTTGGGGGAATATCTCTTTTTTTAGGCTGTTTTGGGGAAATTTCTCCTCCTTTGGGGCAGTTTTGGGGGAATATCTCTTTTTTTGAGGCTGTTTTGGGGCAATATCTCCTTTTTTGGGGGAAGTTTTGGGGACTCTCTCCTCCTTAGGAGTTTTTGGGAGGCTTTTTAGGGGCTATCTTGGGGCTTTTTGGGGCTATCTTGGAGCTTTTTGGGGCTATCTCGGTCTCTCCCAGGCTGCTGGAGGCCGACTCCAAGTCGATGCGCTCCATGAACGGCTCCCCCCATGAACGGCTCGCGACGGAACAGCGGCTCCTCCTTGGTCTCCAGCTCCTCGGCTTCCTCCAACCTCAGCCACCTGGAAGAGGACACCTGGATCCTCTGGGGCCGCATCGTCAACGAGTGGGACGAGTGGCGGAAGAAGAAGGAGAAGCTGCTGAAGGTGAGGATGGAGCTTTATTTTTAAACCTATTTTAACCCTCCTGCAGAAATCTCCACCAACTTTCTCTGTAAGGCAACATCTCCCCACCCACGAGGAGCTTCCCCATCTTCTTGAAACCCATTTTCTGGGGTTTTTGCCCCGTTTTTCCGCAGGAGCTCATCCGCAAAGGGATCCCCCACCACTTCCGTGCCATCGTTTGGCAGCTGCTGTGCAGTGCCACCGACATGCCCGTCAAAAACCAATACTCGGAGCTGCTCAAGATGTCCTCTCCCTGCGAGAAGCTCATCCGACGGGACATCGCCCGCACTTACCCGGAGCACGAGTTCTTCAAGGGCCAGGACAGCCTGGGCCAGGAGGTGCTCTTCAACGTCATGAAGGTAACGTCGTTCCTCCAATTCCAAGAGATCTTGGCCGCGGCCCAGACGCCGCTTTGGCTTTCAAAGCTGTTTTAAGTGGAGATTAATTTTTGATGGGTTTGGTTTTCACCACAAACTCCTGGAACTATCGTGTCTTGTGACGTGACGGCCCTTTTCCTCCCCAAGGGACCTCGTTCCCCGTCCGTTCCAGACCTCATTTTTTCCTCTTGAGTTTTACCCTGAATTAAGAAACAGATAGTTGAGTCTTTCGGCGTCTAAATTCAAGTTTGCAGCAACATCATGATCACAGGAGATGTTACCAACCAAAAAAATGCTGTTTTCCATGGTTTCCTCCACCACAAGCAGGGACAGTGGCCCAACCAATATATTTATTTTCTTTTTTGCACACATATTTATTTTAATTTTTTCACCTCCTTCCAGGCCTATTCGCTGGTGGACCGGGAGGTTGGATACTGCCAGGGCAGTGCCTTCATTGTGGGACTGCTGCTCATGCAGGTTTGTGACGACGTCGGAGCTGCTGATGGGTTTTAACACCCTCCGGAGACGTGGTGGAACGGGGTTGGGGAACAGGAACCTTTTTCTTGATCCTCAGGAACAAAATGGGTTTGTTCCCACCATCCCACTCACTCCTGATGGGTTTAAAATCCCCCGTTCGCCTTCCCTTTCACCCAGGGACGGCTCCCCGCATGTTCCATCCCCTCTGGAGCTGCCAGCGGAGTTTTAAGAGGGAATTCTTGTCCCTTTGGGTCTCTAGATGCCGGAGGAAGAGGCCTTCTGCGTGTTCGTGAGGCTGATGCAGGAATACCGCTTACGGGAGCTCTTCAAACCCAGTATGGCCGAGCTGGGGCTCTGCATCTACCAGTTCGAGTACATGCTGCAGGTGAGGACTGCCCCGCGGCCCCCAAAACGCTCGGGGGGGTGGGAACCAGCAGGTAGAGCCCAGGAGACAAGGACAGGGAGAGGTGGGAGGGAGGTGACAGTCCTTGGGAGAAATAGGGTCCTGCCGCGGAGCTCGTGTCCAGTGACACAGGCCCTGGGGACGTTTGTGGGGTGCTCTGAGGACCATCCGTGAGACCCCTGAGGATGTCCACGAGATACCCTGGGGGCATCTGTGAGACCCTGGGGACCACCTGTGGGACACCCAAAGGAACCATCCATGAGACACCACAGGGACTGTCCACAAAATGCCCTGAGGGACACCCATGAGACCTGGGGACCATCCATGAGACCGTGGGGACATCCATGAGACCTGAGGACCATCCACAAGACCCTGAGGGACACCCAGACCATCCACAAGCCCCTGAGGGACACCCATGAGAACTGGGAACCATCCATGAGACCCTGGGGACATCCATGAGACCTGGGGACACTCCCTGAGACCCTGAGGGACATCCATGAGAACTGGGAACCATCCATGAGACCCTGGGGACATCCATGAGACCTGGGGACCCTCCCTGAGGGACATCCATGAGACCTGGGGGACCCTCCGTGAGACCCTGAGGGACA